TTCACCTAGTTAGATGTTCGATTAGTTCAATTATGTGATGAGATACTATTATCTATCTCTAAAAGTTATCCAAGTGGATTTTTTTCTCTTCTAATCAAGGCCAGAGCCTCAAGCCGAAGCTCCTAATATTTGTATACATTTTTTTAAAAAGGTTTAATTTAATAGGCGATATACTTTATTATATTATTTATATTTTTTTTTTCAGTAAGATATTAAAATATGTATATATATATATATATATATATATATATATATATATATATATATATATATATATATATATATATATATATCTTATGGGAACCGAGTATTTTTCATCTTCTATCTATTTGTTTTTTCTTTTAATTAAAAAAGAGAGAGCTTAATGTATGTATTAGTGTGAATCTACGACAACTACACAAGTTTTAAAAAAAAAAATCAATTTCTAACATTTTTGTTTTTGTAACCTTTCATTATTATTATTATTATTATTATTATTATTATTATTATTATTATTATTATTATTATCACCTTATAAATGGATTTCCTACCTCTTAATAGTTTTTTCAACATTATTATTCAAGCAAAATTGTATTTTATGGTGTTTTTCTGGGTTCCTTCTTGTATATTTACTGTTGTTTTCATTTAAGTATTATTAATTTGATACAAAAATAAATATATACTACGCTAAATTTATTTAACAAGATATATTATATTGGTAAAATTGCTCTTTCATTAATTAAAAATAAATACACTGAAGTTGTATCATATAATATAATTTCAATATAAAAGTTTTAAAAAATAAAAAACCAAAATTAAAATCATGCTAAATGATGTGACTTCCTAAAGTCATATAATCTAATGCGACTAATCAATTTTTGTAAATATTTTGAAAAAAAAAGCATTTTAATAAAAAAAATTGAATTACACTATTTTGGTATTTTTGCTTATTTAACAGAGCCTATCATATAGGGGAAAAAATGTTCTTCAAAGAACATAGTTATTAAATTTTATGTAGCTAGGTTATTTAATACTTTTTTGCTTCAATCATATGATATAAATAACTTGTTACATTTTGTATGATAATGAATTACATTCACAACTTTTTTACATATTAGATTCAATCCACGTAATGCACGACCTTACCTAACAGTTATTAAGAAGAAACCTAAGTGGATGAAACATGAAATTGAAAATATAAGGAGAATGCGTGTCAGAAATATATTTAATATTATTATTATTATTAATTCTATAAATAATAATCAGAATATTTATAAATCATTATTATTAATAATGATAAATATTTTATTATATAATGTATGTAGTGATAAATTGATGATTTATTTGTAGGAAAACGACAAAATAACTTCTTATTCGTTGCCAACACCCAACCACACCATGACATGGATCTCATCCTCAGATTTGAACATTTGTATTCACAACCTCTTCAATGTCTATATTCACGACGTATATAGTTTTGTAAGTTGTCCCTGTGAAGCAAAGGCCCACCTTCTTTTCTTTATTAAATAAAATTGTTGTTTGGTGATAACCGTGGTTGGAGTATGGACCATTTGCTCTTTGTTTATACATTCATGTCATCATCAAGTTTTAATTTCCAATAAATGTAAAACCAAAAAAGTTGTGGTGGGTACAGTGGATGCATATTAGATGAAAGCAGTGATTTAGAAAGGACAAAAACAAAGGATATATAAATTTGCCAATGATGAAATGTTATAATAAGAGGAATTTTTTAATTGTCAATCGATTAAATTGAAGAATTAGAAAGCTTAATCGTTACGCAAATCTGCCAAGTAAGGGTTCAACTTTAGCCCAACTACCAACTAAAAAGTGAGGGAACAAAAAAGTGCGTTTCAGAAAAGAAAATGGAGCATTGGTGTCAGTGGGAAGAGCTTTGCATTGCTTTGCATGATTGTTGTGTTCGCCACATGACTTTGGATATAGTCACTATTAATTGCTTGACTTCAATAGTGTATTTTGAAGAATCTATGGTATTCATGTTTTGCTATTCTCACACTACATGTTCATGTAGGTCACTGTTACAGTATACCCTATTTCATTATATATTATTACTCAAGCGGATTTTTTTAGAATTTATACAGTGTTTAATGCAAAGTTATAATAAAATTTTAATTTAATCATCAATGTATTATAATTAATGTCCATCAGTGAGAGTGATTATATATATATAAAGCATTTTTAATATAGGTACATATAATGATAAAATAATTAATTTAATTTACATTTTAAATAAATATTATGAAATTAACCTTTGTAATTTTTCTCAGTATTAATGCAAAATACAAATGCTCCGAATATCTAATAGAGACGAACAGAAAAAAAATATGTCTTGTAAGAAATATAGGAAGAAGTAGTTGCAATTGTTGTTGAAGCATTTTCAATCAAATTTTTTTAAATAAATGGTTTAAGAATAAAATTAAATAATTTATTATAAATATTATTTAAAATTTAGTCTATTTATATAAATAATTTTCTTTTAAATTTAAATAATTTTTTTTAAATAATTCAAATATACGACTATAAAATATATAATAAAATATTTATTTTTATTTCTCACCCATTCTTCATTTAAAGTTGTTCTTATATATTCTAAAATGTACCACGCTTTCATCGTTTTTTATAAGAACTTTTTTGAGGAAATTAAAATATATTAAATTTAATGTATTCTCAATTTAAATTATTTAATTTAATTTAAATAAGACAACTTAAATTTATTCGTTCTTGATTTTTTAAACATTATATATATATATATATATATATATATATATTCTAAAAATACTAACAGGTGATATTTTTGTTTTTACGTTACTCAGGATTATTTTCAATCAAAATTTACAAGATAATTAACGTCAACAATTTTTTTTCCGATTAATATTGGTTTAAATTATTTTTAGGGTTATTTTTTAATCGACTTTTTAACTGATTTTGATAAAACAAAATCTCTAATTGACATTAACCTAAAGCAATAGTAACAGTTGAATGAAAGTTTTCTCTATCAAATTAGCTAAAGATAATTATAACTCTGGAAAAAAATAACACATGTAAATTGAAAGAAACTCAGTGCAGGTATTAAAAAAAGCTTTGATGGCATTAATGAAAAAAAATTGATGATTTACTGATCTCATTTGAATTAATGTCATTTCATCTAAGATTGAGTTGACAAAAAAAAACTAAAAACAAAAATCATATTAGATGTGAGTTAAAGAAAGAATATGAAAGAAACATAACTAAGAAAGAGAGTATAAAATGTTTCAAAATTGTTTTTTTAATGTAAAATTTGAAATTCGATCATTTTTAAAATAAAATACTTCTACAAATTCATGAAGTTTTATTTTTATTTGAATTTTTCCCAAATCACAAATTTGATCACAAAATATTTAAACTTAACTATTAAAATAAATTATGCTATGAAAAATTCTCATCCCATCACATTATTACAATTTCACCTATTTAAATGTGAGTTGATGAGTTTTAATAGATTTTTGTCTAACCATTTTATTATTAGAAAAATAAAATATGTAATTTTTACAGTGTGGCCAAGTCAACTCATGAATCCATCTTTATGAAGACGAATGGTAAGAAAATGACACCCAATCTCACTAACGCTAGGCAGCCGAAAGAGTAGTGTACAACCTTAAAATGGATGTAAATTTAAGTGTTTTTATGATATTTGAACTCACACTAGGGAAAATATGCTTCCAACTTACTATTTGTGCCTACACTCGTTGGCTCTACCCAAATCGAAAGCATTGAGTATGTGTAAGTGATCAAAATGCACGTAGACTGCCAAAAAGAATTTGTCGAAATATTTATGTAATAGTTTATTAAGATACCTAAATCATTATATTTATTCAATACCTCTTCCATTACATATTAATTCAAATTTAGGATTTTTAAATAAAGGAACCAAACAATATCATTTCATTAAGAGACAATGTTATTAAAATTGCAAATTTTAAACACTTAAGTACTATTTTCAAATTGAAAATTGTCATGATAGACTTTAATTTTTTGCTAGTTATTATACTATCAAAATACTTTTTTTTTATATAAAATTACTCAATGAACTATTTAAAAATAATAAAATACCTGAATAATAATAATAATAATAATACATTCTGGTGCTATCTCAGGGTCCCTGCCACGAGTGCATAATTTGATACGTGTATCGAAATGGAAGCGGTCAACGCAATATAAACGATTACGCAAATAGAAAAAGCAATATATATATATATATATTCTATGACGCCTATCCTATCCATCTTTGAAGATCATTATGGACCAGCCAATCAAAACCGCCAGGAATGCTCCACGTACCAGACACACGCCATCATCGCCTGTACCTGATCCTATTTCACTCACCGTTACTCGTGCAACGACGACGTTTACTCCACACACATTACATATACACCAAAGGAACTAGAAAGTGTCCAAGCAAGCACCGTTTTTTTAATTTGAGTCTTCAACTTATGCACCGACACTGTTGCCGATACAGTTCTTTCCCTGTTTGTTGCTTTCAAATTAACTTCCCCACACAACGACACGTGGACCCAGCCTCAAAGCAAGCAAGGTTGCACGGACTTCCCATGCACCCAGCGGTAACGGGCCCTTTCTGTTTCTAGCACAGCCAACACCTGACTCGAATTTCCTTCACCATTAAAACACTGCGAATTCCAGCTGGCACTTAACCGCAACCCGAGGGTGCACTAACGGTCCCCAACTCCAGCTGTATCCAACACCCACCCCGCGCACGCAGCTATCTTGCGCCGGAACACGGATACGGTATTCACTCTCTCACTCACTCGAGAAATAGAGATAACAAAAACACAATGGAGGATCTAAGCTGGTGACATTGACTTTTATTTTATTTTTAAATTTCTAGCGATAAATAAAAGCGAACAGGATGTACAACATGAACAAGAATTTAGAATGGAAGTAATAGAAAAGATTACGGATGGAGAGAAGCGTGTACGTTTGTGAGCTTAAAAATCGGCCAGTTTCCGGTGAGGGCGAGATTTGGGAATCTGTTGCAAAGTTCGGATCGCCAAAACATCGCTTCTTTTTACATCCATGTAGTGTCCAATGTCGCCGCCGATCTTGTCTGCCAAATCTAAAAACAGATCGATAAAACGCATGAATAAAAAATAAATTAACAAATAAAAAAAATCCAAAATGCAATGCGCTTGCGTACCTAGACGATGCGAGGGCGAGCGGTTGAATCCGGAGAAATGATTCAAGTCTGCGAGGAGGAGAAACAAGTAAGGGATTTTGAAATTGAGTATATGATATCAGTATATGTAATGAATGGAGTGGTGGAGTACCTGATGGAGAGGGAGCGTGAGAGAAGAGGTAGAGGATGAAGAAGCAGAGAAGAGTGAGGAGAGGAATGAGGTGAACGAACTTGTGCGGCGGTGGAGGCGGCGAGGAGAGACGGTGAGGTTTAGGAGCATCTTCTTCGTCGGAGAGGAGCGTCTCTAGCTTGGGGAGTTTGGGAGATGGTGAACCCAGGGATTGTCTATGCATCGCGGTTGCTTCACACAACGGGAATGAGATTGAGACACACCGTCAGAGAGTGTGTTTGTTGTCAAATGTGAATGAATTTTATTTTTATCCTTATTTTTATTTATTGTTATTTTATTATTATTTTTATTCTGAGTTGCATGTCCTTTTTTTTTTCTTTTTTCTTTTTTAATTGTGTTTCCTTTTTCTTCACTCATCTCTTTGTTTTTGCTTTTTAAACTTTTTGCCTATTCACTCTTTTTGCTTTTATTTGGGATGCTTTTTAGGTTCTCCCACATTTTTTAATCATATTAATTCATTTTATGTACCGTAATTTTATTATTTGATTCAGAGTTTGATTTGAATATTATCTTACAAATTGTATTTGTTGAATTTCTCTCACATACAAATTTTGTATAGTAATGGAACCGGGTCAGCGAACAGAACCCAAATGGGTTTGTCCCACACGAAGCCCAATAAGAATTAGGCTTTTCTATTTACACTTGTTGTTTTACTAAGTTTGTTTACACCCTAGAATTCTTTGTAAAAAAATTTAAATACTTCTGAGAGAAAAAAATGCCACTGTTGAAAAAAATATAGAATGAAAACAGACCTTCATTGCGTTACGGGAGTGTGCATGAATCAATACAAAACCGAAACATGTTTCATTATATTGTGAAATTCTTAAAGATTAATTATTATTTTACTCAATGGACATGTATGAACTTTTTAAATTCTAGGCCCTACATGCAAACTACTCAGTATTAGACAGGTGAATGACGGATATTGGAATAATAAATGGATATTGCGAATCACATCAATTTAGATGCATGCCCTAACGAGCTAGATTATCTCAATTTAGATGCATGTAATATTCATGCATATGTATATCACAATGTATGTTATCCTCTGCAAATCAAAAGATTTCCCAAATATTAAGTAAAAATAAAGATGATAACAAAAGCTAAAGAAAAAAAATAAAAAAAATCCAATGTATCAATACAAAAACACAAATAGTGGATTCTGATACAAAATAAATCCAAAAACAAGGGAAAAAAAATCACTGTGCATATGCTAAATCTTCCTTTTCCTCTTTCATTATGTGTTATTAATATTTCGGATATTGGGCCGAGGGAGAAAGTTGCAAGGCCCATATGAAGAAGCCCGTACGGTTGAGAGGTGGAAAGGCAAAATCCAAGGCCAGAGTGGCAGGAAGACGAGGGGAAATGAAAAACGCTACAAGGAGCGTCACCGATGGAGTGGCAATGAGAAGGGGAATAGAGACTTGGGCAACAGGAAAAGGAATGGTCAACGTAACTGTTCCATACCATTAGAAAATCCAAAGCGTGGAAGAAAGTTGTAGAGAGAGGACTTTCAATGGTGCTGTGGGAGATAACGCTCGGAACCGCGTATTTCTTAGGTCTGAAGAGAACATACAGGCTCGCTCTCAGGATTCAACGCAGGATCGTAAGCCCTAAGTACCCAAAACTTCGCCAATTCCTTCACAGGTTTGATTACCAATGCTATTCTTATCTATCCGTAAGCAATATAGTGTTTTGATTTTATTCACCAAAATATGTGATCAGCCGCGGCGAAATCAGATTCGAAATTGCAACTTATGATTGCTTAGGTGTGATATTTATAAATTAAAATAATTTTTGTCGGGATTGCTATATGAAAATGCGTTGCGAGCTCCAGATCCAATGTTTAAAAGGATAATCACTAATCAATGATAAATGATCAATCGATTGCTATTAGCTTATTACTAAGTGTAGATTCCGACATGATATTTTGAACATATGTTAGGGATTTACGTTTCTCCATGGTGCTTTGCAGACGGACCCGTGATGTGTTTGATGTGGCAATCAAAGTTCATCGGAACATTCAAGATAGGGACATTGAAGTGGGTAGGAATTTCGGGAACTATATATTGCGTTGGCTGGATCGAATGAAGCCATCGGCGCAGATTCGCGGTCCACCACCTTCGAATGGTGTTAATGGTGCGAATGGTGTCAATGGTTCGAATGGTGTTAGGTCAAGAGAATGCACTGGAAAGCGTGCTGCAGGAGGTGGCAGTTCCAATCACAAAGATTCTGGAACGTTGAGGAGGGACTTTGACAGGAATTTTTTTACCTCCGCAAGGACAATGCCTTCACCTACAGTTACGAGAATGATGCGACGGCCCAGTCCTGCTGGGACTACCATCCATGGCAGGCACTTCAGTGTTTCTACGCCTCAAATTGTGGCATCAAATAATAGGTTCAATTGGTCCGGGGGTGTTGTTCGGAAGGACATTATGCAGTGGATGCTGCATAAGTAGCCCTTTAAGAAACTGATGGTTGTGGAGTACCAAATCTGTTGATATTGTCACTTTGTATTTTGTATGGTACATCAAGCTTCCTTTTGGATAACCCCGCCGGTTAAGCATTCGGTTTTAGTTTTGGTTAGAAGAACTAGTTGTTACGATAATGGATAATCTTCCCGTTGAATGAATAATGATATGGAGATTGTGCCATTCTTTAGTTTGTTTTGCCCTGCAAATATGGTTTGTGCAACTTGCTGTCTGATTTTTTCCATCCGTCAACTGTTCAGGCATACCCTTTTTATGCAAATCTACATATACCATAATACGTTATTCTGATCGAGTTCATGTGATATCCTAATGCATCCTTCTTTGGAGGTGAGGTGACATTCACTTTTTATAACTGGTCTCACGCAAATTACAGATAATGGAGCCATAGCAAAGTAATGTTAACTCACCAAATGCAGGAATCGTGGAAGTGATTTTCTAGCTCTGTTTTTTACTCGCGAGAATTTGCTGTTATGTGATATTTGCAAAGTTTTATTCTAGTACCGTATTTGTACATTTTAAAAATGCTCTTCAATAGAAGTTGGTCTTACGTGATAAATTACTTAAAACTTCAGCGTCGCTGTCTGGACAAACCACTGCATTCATTTCTAACACTTCTGACTTAATCTGGCAAACGCAGAATAACAGTTATTACTTATGCTTCATCTACAGTGTCATCATCTCCTTTACGCATGGATCTCAAGTGAAAATGTAATCCTAAAGCTAAATAATTTATGAGATACCATCACCTCATATTTGTCATATTGGCAGATTATCTTTTCGAAAAACTAACCAAAATCAACACAATAAATTAGGGAGTCCTTACACATAAAGGTCAATTTCTAACGAAATAAATTATGTGGAGGAAAACAACTCACTTTCGTGGTGACTTTTATTCCTTTAAAATCTTCCAACGTCAAATAGGATATTAAGAGAATTTAAACGGATTCCTTAAATGGATATAATTCAATTTTTTTATTAAATAATTACTCAAATCAATCATAAAATTTGAATATAAAATTTAAATTAAATCAGATAAATATTTTATAAATCACTTCATGCAAATTTTTGTCCATATAAATTTATTAAACAATTTATAATGGAAATTATTATATATATTGTGAATTTTATTTCTCCCATTCATAAATAAATAACATAATTTTATCAATAGAAAAAATACAAACTTGTTATTATATATATATATATATATATATATATATATATAATATTAGCTGATAATTATTTCTAAAAATATAACATTATATTTAAATATAATAAATAATTTACTTCATTTTTTTATCTTTAATCTAAAACTCAAACAAAATAATGCTGTTTAAGGAAAAAATTATCTTAAAAAAAAACAATTTTGGTTTGATTTTTTAATTTTTATTCAATTTTTCAAATTCAGTTTTGAAAACTATAAGTTGATGTGCACCCCAAAAAATCTCCTGATAAAGGCAAGCAATCAATAACAATAAAGTTCAAAGTATGCAGAACAGCAACAACTATGTAAAACACATTTTGAACATCATTTTAGTCTACTCCCTCCCATGCTAAGACAAAACAGCCTCAATCTCAAAAAAAGTAGCTTCATAAGAAAATTTTCATATTCCCTCACCAAATCAATATTTCACCAAAGCTAAAAAGGGGTTGACACTATCTTTTCGATATATTGTAGAATGACATCCTGATAACATAACCTGTCACTCCTTTAAATATACATCAGTTTGAGAAGAAAAAGAATTGAGACATTTTGAATAAACCTTTCGAATTATTCTCAGGGAATGGGGACGGATGGGAGAAGAAGAAAGACACTATGATTACTTTCCTATTGATCCAGAAGAGGACTTCCCTCTCTGGCAAGGATGAAAAGACCACCATCCCCCCTAGATATTCGAAAGTCCTGATCAAGATATGTAGTAAGAAGCCAGGAGCTTGTCCTCTCGCCAGGGATGGGAATCTTAAGAGGAGGTTGGCCAGAAATGACCCGCGATATGTTTTCCACCAGACCTTGCAGTGGACCAAGGGACTGTTGCAGAGGCTGTAGACTAAGCTTTTGACCAAAAATGTCCACATTTTCTGGTAGTTCAACTTTAGACTTTATCTCTGGAGGTTGTATTGAACCTTCTTTAAAAGTGACCTGCGTGCATTTAGAAATGTTAACAAGAGTTTTCTAATCACTGCAGTCTAAAGATTTCATATGCACACTGATATAACATTCGGTACCATTAAAATTAAAATTAAGCATCATACATATCATATTTGCCTGACAGAATTGAAGCGACTATATATTTAACAACCTACTTGATTACAAAAAGACGAACTCTTTTAAGTACCAGCAAATTACAAAGCATAGAATGGTAAGCTAAGTACTTTTCTTCAAACAACATCATATTAGCTGTACAGATCACCCTTTATCTTTTTTCTTTTTCTTTTGGCCAAGCCAATATAGTCAAGGATGTCAAACTGCAAAATTGAGGAAGTAAGGTGAAGAGTCAGAAGGGTCAGAACCTCTTGCACTCTTGCTGATCAAATCACTGCTTTAAGCTCTTTAGGCATACCTTTTTGATTCAATTGAGGCACACCCTTAATGAGTTCTCAACGATTGTAAAATAATAAGGCCATATTATCTGATTTGTATTAGACTTTGACACTTTTGGCGCAACCTACTCATGGTTTTGTGAAACGTCTTAATCTTTTATTTTTACTGTGAACATTACATTTACAGCCCAAATAGTTAATTTATAAGGTAATCTAATGCAATGTAGTGAAATGTTTTAACATTAAAATCAATCATTCTTCAATGAGAAATGCACTTTTGGTGCTTTTCACCTTTATATATTAACTCCTAAGAACCTTTTGCCTTCTTTACTACCTTGTTTTTAAAAAATCAGAGTTCATAAAATAATAATGTTTTCAAGGGAATACCTGTATCCTTGCCGGGCTTCTAACTTCAAAGGAGGCAGATGCACTGAAAGACAAAGATGCAAAAGGGCTAGACAATGTTATGGAGTTTATAATGGTGAAGCTACTGGTATCAATTGTTTGTGAAATCTTGTCCACCTTCAACAAAGGCAATCTTCCTGCTGCTAGAAGAGGCAACAGTTCAGAAGATGCAGTGTACCTGACAACAGTTTGACAAGCAAAGAAACAATAACTACAAACACTATACATTCTTAGTTTATTTCATCAATACTAACAATACTTATCTATCTAATAAAGAAGACAACGACGAGCACAGAAAGAAATACTTTTGCCAGTCACACTATATTGATTTGACACAAAATCGTCTTATCCTTTTCCGAACAAAATTATAGATAGGAAAAATAAGTGTTGGAGTAAAAAACATACTTCAATATAAGCACTGTTAACGCGATTATTATCCTCAATTTTCAATCAGCCAGCACTGTAATATAAGCACATTAAACTAAACAAGAATCCAATAAATACCTGAGAAAGTATAAGATGCCAAAGTACAATACACTAACTATGATTGAAAAATAATTCATTAGAAAACGTAATAATTCACAAATCATGAGACATTTTATATTCATAACACGATATCATTACACACACAAAAGAATTCACAATTCGTAAAGGAATTCACACTTACAGCAACACCCAATTCCCATCGAGAAGGGCAGGTTCCTCCACGGGGGCAAGGGTAGGGTTCACCGCTTCCAACTGAGTCACCAACTCGGACACCTCAGCACGAACCTCCGACCGGCCTTGAATCCCTAACTCTGTGCCGTAGACGGTATCCACCAAAGCACGCTTCAGTCCCTCTACCTTATCATCCACTCCCTCCTCCGCCGGAGCCTTAGCAACAGGCGTTCCGTTCCCGCTGTCGATATAGCCGCCGGCTTCGGGTGCTGCACCTCCTTCCTGCCATTCGTCCTCGTCCTTGGGAGGATCCGAGTCGGGAAGCTTGGACGGCAACGTGTCGGCTTCGGGCTCGTAGTCCTCGCCCCATTCGTCGGAGATTTTACCAGTGGGCTTGCCAGCGTCATCGTCGGCGGAGGCGCGGAAGCGGAGAAAAGGAAACCTCGGAGAGCGAGAGGAGAGAGAGAGGTGAGAGAGCGAAGAGTAGACAAAAAGGGGTTTACGGCTTTGAGAGAAGATAAAGGGAGTGCGCGACGTGACGGCGACGAGAGCCATCGGGACTGGGTGGCTATAGGGTGAAACCCAAACTGAAATCTGAGCCATTTTTTTTTTCTGCTTCGTCGCTGTTACTACCTCACAAGTATGCTTTATAAATTATAACCACAAATAACTAATTGACGAAAATGAAAATGAACCATGAATCATGGATAAAAAAATTCATGATAGTGAAGAGTTCATTTGACATTGATTAAAAATATTAATAGATTTTTTTGTCATTAACATTATGGATCACAATTAAACTTGCACCGTGATAAAAAAAATTCATGATAGTGAAGAGTTCATTTGACATTAATTAAAAATATTAATTGATTTTTGTGTGGGATATAGATTTTAATAATTGATTATTCGTTTAAATAATATATTATTAAAAAATAATAAATAAATATAAAAGGGTGAAAAAAATAAAATAAAATTATAAATTAAATTTGGAAAGTAAAATTATAAAATGGAACAAAAGTTGAAAAAATAAAATTACAACTATACAAATATATTAAAGTTTTGGAGACTAAAATTATAAATTATATGTAAAATACAAAACTTTGGAAGGGTCAAGGTACTTTCCAGTTTTCAAGAAAATTCTACTGGGAACGATCTCGTTTTAGTCTGGAGTTTGACGAAGAAAAAGTTAAAGGAAACAGAACGAGTTCAAATTTTCCGTGCTTTAAAAAGTTAGGAATGAGTAATGAAATTTCTATCTCGACCCGTCTCCATCGTCATCAGAGTTTATATTTAAATTTAAATTTTAAAATATTAATATTTTGAAAGTATTTTCTGCTTTTTTATATATAAGATCATTATTTTATATTTTATCATTTTAATTTTTTTTCTACTTATTTTTTAATCTTTTATATCAATTAATTTATTACATTATTCTTTTTCTCTTACCTTTTAATTTTTCATATTTTTTTATATTTTTAATCAATTTGTTTTCTTTTTAAATATTTTTTACTAATTTAATGAATATAAAATTATTTTTTGTCTTTATTTTTATTTTAAATATTTTAGTAATAACTAGTATTATTTTATTTATAATTTATATTTATTAGGTTTTATTATATAATGTTTTTATTTATTTATCATATATTATATTTTATTTTAATAAAGTAATTATATTTTAAAGAATTAAAAAAAAATAATTTAAATTTTTATTATTTTGAACTAATTAAATAAGAATTAACTTATTAAATATTTGTTTATAAATTATATATTTCATAAATTTTTGAATGATTATTTAAAAATAAATTAATTTATATATATAATCAAATATTTAAATATAATATTATAATAATAATATAAATATTTAAATATATTATAAATATTTTATATGTGTATAAATAAAATATATTTAAATATTTATATATATATATATATATATTTTTTTTTTTAACATAAATATAATAAATTAAAATATATATTTAATTAATAATAATTACAAATTATAAAATTATAAATATTTATTTATGTATAAGTAATACATAAAATTAGTAAAATTAATTTATTATAAATATAATTATATAAAAAAATATATAAGAAGGGTAAATAAATCTAAAATTTAATAAAAATAAGAATAAAAGCTTAATTGACAGAACGATTAAAAAAAAAAAAAGGTTAGGATTGAAAATCAGAAAGGAAAAAATCGGCCCCACCCGCTCCGTCCGTCTTATTGTCACGCCTATGTGTAAACATTGCTTCATAGTTAATTTTTAAACTTTTATTCTAGATGCATCCTTGTAATCCATGATTCAATGATACTTCTAAAAAAAAAAAATTTGAAGTTTTCTTACAATGACCTATGCGCTTTTAATATTTGATATTATTTCCTATTTAAGTTCAAACAATATATCTTTCCAGCATTCAAAAGTTTAAATAAAAAGTATTTTCTTATAATAACATTAACCTTTAAGGAAAATTATTATAATTATGAAACTTCATTAAACGATTCAACAAATTCACATATGCAATAATCTCCAACAATACAAAACAATTGTATATTCACAAATATTACTTCAAAAAGTATACAATTAAACAATTGTTAAATGCAGGAACATAAATAGACCTCAGAATTGCCAAAGAAACATGGGGAAAACCTAAATAATTTATATTTCTATCACATTATTCAAAGATTGGGTTTTCTGTTTATTTATTATTTTATTTCAAAACCATTTTTCCTTACAATTCAAAATCGTTTTGATGGATGATCAACAGAGGAAATAGAATGACATAATTCAATTTTTGAAAGTTTAAATTCCACAATTAAAAATTGGAAGATTAAATTGGAAGATTAAAATTGTGGAACAGTCAGAAAGATTGTAACTAATATGTGGAGCATGTTACTCTAATTAGACCGTTACGTGTCTACTAGATTTAAATTATATGTTATTTGTTGATTTAATTATTTTAATTTTAGTTAGAATTGTTATGATATTGGTAACAGATGCTTCGTGTCTATAATTTTTCTATTATTATTTTTAAATTTAAATTTTATTTCTTTTTACCTACTTTTTTTTCTCCAATCACGTATTATATATTTTTTCTTACACATTTGATAAAAAATAATGTTATATAATAAATAATATTATAAAAAGACATTAAAAAATTATATCTATATAATAAATAATTTACACTATATCATTTAATTATTATTTATATTAAAAAATTAATCGTTTAAAAAAATAAAGATGTTATAATTTTAAAAAATAGTTATTATGATTTATATATTTAAAAAATAAAAATAAATATAAAAATAAAATATATTTAAAGAATAAAAAATAAAATAAATTTTAAATATAATATTTTTGAAAAATTAGTTATAAAAAAATTATTGACACACACTTAAACGTTACTGTAACGATGAATATAAGTTTTTTAATCTCTCAGTTCTATTACCATCTTATAATTAAGTTTATTTTTAAATTTTTAAAATGGAAGTCCAATGAAAGGAGGCTGTGAGGAAAGTAACGAGCCAGACGGGTAGTTTTATCAAAGCCATAGGATGAGTCTTGCATGGGTTTACTTGGAAAAGGGGTGGTAGTGCGAACTGCAGAGTCTTCAGAGGGGAAACGTCTCCACCAGTATGGTTGTACTCTTCTGGCTTGGTTTCTACCAAATCCTGCCATTCGCCGACTCAACCACATAAGGTTGTTCTTTAGCGAAGAGCACTATCATTACATCTCTCTTCCTCCCGGTCGAAGCACTGGAGTTGAGAATACAGAATAAGGAAAATGAAAAAATATTTGTTTGTGGCAAGTAGGTAATACTGTAGTTTTCTGTGTTTCTGCTGTTGAGGTAATTCAGAAACCTTCTCTCGATTCCTCCATTTTTTTTTTCAAATAGTAATTTGAATTATTGTGAGGGTTTTGGAATTTTCCTGCGTTTGTTTGGCTCTGTGATTAGAGGCAGTGATTTGGTAGATCGGGGTTGGGATTGGTTGTGCTCCGTGTTTGAACTGATTTTGATGTTTTTTCCGTGAATTTTTGGGCTGATGTTGCTATTGGAATTTGGAAGTGAATCAGTGATGGAGTACGGATTTCTTTTTGGCTTTGTTTTTTTGTTTATACGATGTCTTTGGCCGTGGTGTTGTTTTAATTACGTGTTTTTTTTTCTGCTTTTTTTATGATTTTTTATGCTATTAAATTCCATCATCAGGAGCAGAGCCGATTCAGGGAAAAGCATGTTGAGTGTGCACACTACCTTCATGCATGGCTGGGTATGCTTAAGCCTTAAATTGATTTACATGTGTGCGATTTTTCGTTGTGTTAATTATTATGTTTCTCTGATTTTTGAATTTTCTTGACGTTTAAGTTTTGCTGTTTATCTATGTTGTAAAGATAATTGGACTGTTAATTGAGTTTATTATTTTTTATCCCCTAGTTATCCATTTATCATTCATTTGATACAATGGGGCTTATCTTAGTTTTTTTGGTCTAATTGGATTTTGATATTTGGTTATTTTCCTTTCTCCCTATTCTTTGTTCATACTTATAATGGCAAAAAGCAAGCATGATTTCTGGAGAAATTGTAGCATTGCAAACTTAATATGACAAATATTGCATTTTTGGGCGTATTTATACTTGTCTTTATGTGACTCTCTACTGCTGGAGTATTTGGATGATAACAAATACATAAACTATTTAAATATAAACTACTAATAATTGGGTTTTGAAATACTAACTATTTTCGAAAACCTATTAATATTCTAATGTTGAATTGTGCATCTTTGTGTGGGCAAAAATTGTATGTTATGTCTTAAAATTTGAGTTTTGGACATAACTCAAGCTCACAAAACTTGTAAGGCAAGGACAACTCAAGCCTCAGTTAAGCACTACATGGGCTATATGTCCAGGTGATGAGGGATTAAACACACCCCTCACTTCTAGCACGTCAAAGTTGCCAGCAACCCTCATACCTGATAATCTACTCAATCAATATACTGAGTTAATGGGCTTCTGGCCAAACTAGTAAGTCACTAGTTGAAACACATGAATTGGTGTAGGTTTTTTTAAAGTGAAGATTGTGTATATATACTATTTTTTAATCATATATCTACCAATTATTTTCTTGGTCACGTGATAAAATGTGGTTTAAGTGTTTAAAATGCCCTGGGACTTCTTATTGTTATGGGGGTATTAACTCACAGTTCACTTTAAACCAGCATGCAGCCTATTAATATCATTTATGGCCGGGCCATGTGCATTTATTGGACCATGTACCAACTTTTCCTAAACCACATAGCCAGTAGCTCACTGGGCCACATACGTTAACTTGCTCTTGGATCACACAAAAGACTTGTGGCATTGAATTGGGGTTACTTGGTTTATAGCCAGTTCTGATGTCATCATCAAGTCATTATTAGCATATCCGAATCAGTAGTTGAATTGACCCAGTAATGAGTCTGGTTTCTTGTCTAACTGAATGGTTTGAGTTGGTTTCTGAATGGACCTGGAATGTGGACAATGTGGGCAGCCCAACAATGGATCTAGGATAGATTTTGATATCATTTAGAGTTAAGGCATAATTCAATCCCACAAAATTAGTTTTTAAAAGTTCTAAACGCTACTTAGGCCATTACTCTATGTAATGAAGAGCTAATAGATGATCCACAGTCATCCCAATGATAATGCTGGAGGATGCAATGAAGGCAGACAAAAGACACCACAATTAAAGCAGCTTTCCAACAAGAGAAATCTCCATGTCTAGCAGATTAATGTCTACAACAGTCATTTGTACAATAGCTATATGGTCCACTATGTTCTGTTTTGATTTTAAAATATTTTCTTGTATTAGTTAATCACATGACTATCATGTGATGTTGTTATGATGTTTAGAGTCTAGATCTTTAAATTATTTGTGCTTTGAAAGATTTGGATGATATTATTATCTGTTTGTAAACGTAATATGAATATTCTGCGGATTGATGTTAAGCAAATTTTTCAGATGTATCATTCAATTGCATATATCTTCTGAGCTATTATTTTATTGGGGTTTTGCAGTCTACAGTCTCTGGAAGATTGAGTGACGATAAATATAAGAGAAATAGTTCATGTAAAATTGAAGAAATTTCATAGGCAATGATACTGTCCTGTTCATGAATTATTTATATTAAAAGTCTTCCAAGTCAACAGACTTGCTTTTGGATTGTGTTGGTTAGACTTTTAGCATATTTATTAGTTCAACGCACTAGTAGAGAGTACTTTTGCAATATTTTACTTGTGCAAGTATCATAATACTTTTTTTTTTTGCAGAGTTAGTTCTTATTCTTTATTTTGTTGACTTATAAATTGATCCTATGTATTAGTTCAATATTCTGAAATGTTTTAAATATCCAGGGAGCACCAATTTTCTTGATATTGTGGTCTTCAGCATTGCCGCCACAGTTTCTTTGAAGCTGCCCAGGGTCTAGGGTTCTATTGTACGCATGGACCTGAGTCTTTATACTTAAGCTTGTTTGTAGATAATTTTCTAGTAGACAGAAATGGAAGTGAAAACCGCTAAGGCATTGGATAGGATTGCACTTAAATTGAAGAGAAAGCGAGCTACCCAATATGCTGCACATATGTGTGGAGCTTCACAACCAACAGACGGGGTTGTCAAACGGATAAAATTGGGTGAATATAGAAAAAAGATTGCAAATGCTGGTTCACATATTGGGAAGTCCTTGAGTAACCGCTTTTTAAGTTATAAGAAGAGTGGGAGACCAACACAACTGATGTTCTATAAGGATGGTGAGTGGGTGGACTTTCCTAACAATATTCTTGACTTGGTTAGGAAAGATCTTGAAATAAAGAAGTCGGTTGTGGAGGTGGAGTTAAATGGGTATCATATGGTGTTAAATTTTTTCCATATGTATAAGTTGGACTTGAAAACTGGTTTGCAACAACCAATGGCTTGGATTGATGAAGCAGGAGGCTGCTTTTTCCCTGAGGTCTATGCTGCTTATGATGAAGAGCCTTATAATCTCTACAAACAGTACAGTGGTAAAAGTACAGAATCGTATGATTCCAATGAAATAAAATTACAGTTAGAAATTGAAATAAATGGGCTGGATCAGTGGAAGTTGAGGGAGTGTAGTGAGGAGTCCAATTCTTTGGTTAAGGGTATTAGAATTGATACTAAACAAGACTGTTGTCCATATGATGTAGAAGTAGAAAATAGTATTAACAAAAAGGACTGTGAAATTGTTGGTGAATCTATACAGCAAAATCAAGACATAGATTTAGATGCCTATACTGAATCTGTATATGGAAAGTTGGATTTGGATTCTGTACAGAAGATGTTTCTTAACGGAATGAACAACAATGGCATTACTAATTCTCACATTGTTGGGATTGACCAGTGCTCAGGTGCTTCAATGCAATCACGATGGGAGCTATTCCAGAAGCAAGCTGAAATTACCAAAAATTGTCGTGGGGATGCTAATATTCAGTATGCTTGGCTTGCTTCTTCTAAAGGAGAACTGTCTACAATGATGGAGTATGGGCTTGGCCACTGTAGACTATCTGCATCAAAATGCACATATGGCAATGGTGTTAATCTTGCAGCTGTTAACTGCCCTGGCACCAGGTTAGTTTTGATATCATCAACTTCAAACAATTAGTCTTTCAAATGCCCTTTTTTTCTAGTCATGATAAACTTATTTGTGGCTTATATTTGTCTTGGTAAAAGCAAGTCGAATGGTCATGTATGAGCTTTTCTGATTTCTAGTTTTGGCTGCAAGGTTGACGAACAAGTTGATTTTGTTGAATATAGTGAAAAACTAGGTATAGGGTTAATTTCCCTTGTGTCTCAAATACACATAGGATAATATATTTATAATTAAAAGTCATACAAGTAAATATGGTAAACACATATATTGTGACTAATAATATCTAACACTTCCCCTCAAGATGATGCATATAAATTATATGTACCAAGCTTGTTACAAATATAATCAATTCTAGGTCTCCGGAAAGAGTTGGTGAAAATATCTGCTAACTGTTCACTTGAGTTAACAAACTTGGTCTTAATGTCTCCAGATACAATCTTTTTTCAAATAAAATGACAGTAAACTTTAATCTGTTTGGTTCTTTCATGAAAGACAGGATTAGAGGTAATATGAAAAATAGTCTAATTGTCACATAAAAGTGTCATTTGAGTGACATCTCCAAATTGTAACTCTTTAAGTTATTGCTTAAGCCAAACAAGTTCACAAGTGGTTGAGGCCATAGCTCTATATTCTGTTTTTGCACTAGAACTTGCCACAACACCTTGTTTCTTGCTCTTCCAAGAGATCAAGTTACCTCCAATAGAAAAACAATATCCGAAAGTAGATCTTCTATCAGAAGGAGATTCTGCCTAGTCAGCATCTGAATAACAAATAACTTTAGTCTAGTTACTATGATCATATAACAACCCTTTTTCAGGAGATCCTTTAATGTATTTTAATATACAGATGACTGAATTCCAATGATATGCACATGGAGAATTATGAAATTGACTCACCACACTAATTGCAACGGAAATGTCAAGATGAGTAACAGTAAAATAGTTTAATTTTTCAAATAATCTTCTGTACTTCTCAGGATCTGAGAGAGGCTCCCCTGATTAGGTAGGAGTTTGGTTTTGGGATCTATGGGTGTGTCAACAAATTTTGAGTTCATCAACTCAGTTTCTTCTAAAATATCTAATGCATATTTTCTCTGAGATATAACAATATCATTATTGGATTGTGCTACCTCAATCCCCAAGAAATATCTAAGATTTTGTCAAGATCTTTGGTTTGAAAGTGGTGACAACGGTGTTGCTTTATCTGGGAGATGCCATGGTGATCACTCCCTGTAAAAACAATATCATCAACATATACTATTAAATAGATACACTCAACACTTGAGTGACAATAAAATACTGAATGATCTGCCTCACTGCGAGTCATACCAAACTGTTGAACAACACTGCTAAATTTTTCAAACTAAGCCCTAGGAGACTGTTTTAGGCCATAAAAAGATTTGTGAAGACAACATATCAATCCAATAGACTCCCCCTGAGCGACAAAGCTTGGAGATTGCTCCATATAAATTTCTTCCTGCAAATTTCTATTAAGAAAAACATTTTGACATCCAGTTGTAAAGAGGTCATTGTTGAATAATAGTCAGTGATTATGAATAAGCGAATAGAAACCATCTTGACCACTGGAGAATAGGTGTCACCATAGTCCAAATCAAAAATTTGTGTAACCTTTGACCATAAGACGAGCTTTGAGACGATCAATAGTACCATCAGGACCAATTTTGATAGTAAACACCTACCTATAACCAACAACAGATTTCCTAGACGGTAATGGAACGAGTTCCCAAGTTTCACTATTCTGAAGAGCACTCATTTCACCAAGTATGACCTGACACCAACTAGGATGGGCTAAGGCATCACCTACGAATTTGAGAATTGACACAAAAGAAATAGACAAAAGGCAGGTATAAAAAGGTAAAATGGTAATTCAAAGAAGGACAATGAGGAGAGAGATTACGAGTAGAACGTATATCTTTACGGAGGGTAATTGGATGGTCAAACTCAGTTGTTGGAGCCGGAGGAGACAAAGGAGTTAGCACTAGACGTAAGTCATTTGGTGGCTGTTGGGATCTTGTCTTCGATTATAAACCTGAAGTGGTGGTGGTGGAAGAGAATCCAAAGGTGGGCTAACAGGAGAATCATACACAATAGGAATATTGACCGTAAGGACACTTAAAGTAAACGGAAGACTCATCAAAAGTGACATCTTTAGAAATAAAATAACAGTTAAGAGAAGGAGACAAACATTTATATCCTTTTTGTGATTGAGTAAATCCTAAAAAAATACATTTGTGTGATGTAGGAGATAACTTATCAAGACCAAGACTAAAATTATGAGCAAAACATGTAGACCTAAAAACTTTAAGAGGTAAGGGATGTAGAGGTTCATGAGGAAATAAAAGAGAATGAGGATAACATGCAGTAAGAACAACATCACCTCAAAAATATTTAGGAACCTCATCATGAATTAAAAGAGTGCGAGTTGTTTCAACAATATGTCTATTCTTGCGCTCAGCCACTCCATTTTGTTAAGGTGTATAAGCATATGAAGTTTAATAAAGAATGTCATGAGAAGCTATATAATGTTTAAAAGAATGAGAAAGGTATTCAAAGTCATTATCACTTTGCAAAATTCGAATAAAAATCCTAGACTGAGTTTTAATTTCATTAAAAAAGGATTGGGATATAAAAAATAACTCAGTACGATTTTTCATTAAAAACAATCATGTACTTTTAGAATAATCATCAATAAAGGTAACAAAATACTAAAAACCTAAATTAGACTTAACACGACTGAATCCCCAAATGTCAAAGTGAATTAATGCAAAAGGGGACGACACTACGAGGAAATGAACTACGACTATGTTTCCCTAATTGACATGACTTACATAATAAACTAGATAAATTGGACAAACTGGGAACAAGTTGCTGCAATTTGGCAAGACTGAGATGACTTAGCTGAGCATGATGAAGACCATGAGACTCACATCCGGTGCCAATCATTTGTCTCGAACTCTAGTCCTGTAAACAAGCAAAATCTTTGGTAAAAGAAATAATATAATCAACAGAACAGGTTAGACTACTAATGAATAATAAGTTAAAGGGAAACCTAGGGACATAAAGAACATTATCAATGGATAAAGATGGAAAAAGTTTATCCATACCAATACCATGAGGAAAAACCCTAGATGCATTAGCCATTGTAATTAAAGGTAATTTATTCGGAGAGAATAAAAAAAAAAAAGATTTGTTCTCAGTAATATGATCTATGGCACCTGAGTGAGATGAGCAGAACGGTGTGGTCGCATGTTTGAACTGTGACTTGGGCGGCGACGGTGGCTCTAGCGACAGTGGTGGCTCCGGTGACGGTGGTGGTGGCGGTAGGTGCAGGGGCAGCAGTGACGGTAGCGAAAAAATAAAAAAAAGAGAACCTAAGCTTTGATACCATGTTGAATATAATGAAAAATTAGATATAGGATTAATTTCCCTTGTGTATCAAATACACATAAAATAATATATTTATAATTAAGAGTCATATAAATAAATATAGTAAATACATATATTGTGACTAATAATATGTAAAATATCTAACAGATTCTATATGATGTTGGTCGCTAAAATCTATCTAAATTATAACATGTGTCATAGTCTCTCCACTAATGCAATCTTATGCTAGAAATTTCTATGCTAGTATCTTTTTCTAAACGTCAATCTTACTTTTACTATTGACTCGGTCCATATGTCATCCTCTGTATTTATATTTATAAATTTTTTAAGGTAAATATTTATTCTCTAGATTGAATATATTCTAAATTTATGTGATAGAATAATGGTTCTGAAGTGTGTTGTGCTTTACTGCTGGAATATTTTTTACCCAGATTTTGCTGCACTACATTTACTTTCAAGGTGACTTGTGAGCATAGTATTTTCCTGATCTTGATCTTTTTGTAATTATTATTAATTACAACTGTCAATTTTTTCCTTGAGATTGTTTTTATTATATGTATTATTCCATACAAAGTACTTTCTTTCCATATTTACTTTTATCATATTGTTATGTTTATTTCACACTTTCTTATGTCTTTTATTATGTATTTTATCTACATCATTCTTTTGGAATTTTTAGAGAAGGATTAAATTTTGCTGTATGTACAGTGCACGTTATTGTGATGTTGACGAAAATGGGGGTCGTTATTTGGTCCTTTGTCGTGTTATAATGGGGAACATGGAGATTCTCCGTCCTGGCACTGGTCAGTTCCAACCCAGCAGCTGTGAATATGATAATGGTGTGGATGACATTCAATGCCCGAGAAATTATGTGGTGTGGACTATGAACATGAACACCCACATCTATCCAGAATTTGTTGTTAGCTTCAAGGTGTCTTTTGATGCTGAAGGTGATACGTTGTTCCTTAAAAAAACTTTTTTACTAGCTTTCCTGCTAACAATAAGTTGTACATTTTAATATTATGTACGTAGAATTCAATGAGTGGAACAAAAGGCAAACTGGTTGATGCATATGGTTCTTTCTTTCCTTTTGGTTGAAAACGTTCTATAAGATGCTAGTATTAGGAAACAGTGTTTCATCCGTAGATTGTTGATATCTCCTTGTGGGTGGTTTCTGATGGTAAGCTGTTTGTGTGCTATTCCTGTCTTAATTTTTTGTCTTGATCATTAGTATGCCATACATTTTTCAGGCCTTTTTCGAGGAACTGAAAGGAAGAATAATGTTTCTGGGGTTAAGACAGCCTGTCATGACACAAAAGGACTGTTACAGTTAGACACTTGTGCTGTAGTTAAGGTATGTTACTTGATATTTGTGTTTTGCATCTGATTCTTTCACCGACTTTCAATGTTAATATCTATTTTATAACTGTATTTTTTACCTGCAAGTGCTATCGTTGTTTTTGTTTGCTTTTTTGCCTTGAATTTTCAATTTATTATTTGAAAGTACATTATCAGTTTTAAGGGATTACAATGAAGAAGGGAGAAGAAGTTTCATGAAGGTTTGGCTGTGTAAGGTAGGGGTGTCAAAGTGAGCCAACCCGGCTCACACGGGTTGGCTCACCACGGGTTGAGCTGAAAATAGGTGAGCTCAACCCGGTTCACTTTTTGGCGAGCCAGAAATTTTACAACCCGGCTCAACCCACCACGGATTGGTGGGTTAGGTGGGTTGATTCACTAATCCATATTTTTTTAATTTTTTTTAATTATATAAAAACTTTGGATGTAGAAACTTATGTTTTCTTCATTTCTTTCTCAACATCAGTATCTTCGTTATTAACTCGAAATTGACTCATTGGGTTTTTCATTAATAATAAAATCATCACTAATACAATTTACATTGACGCTTTGATGTATTGTTTTAGATTCCATAATGTAAATTAATTTAAAAGAAAGAAGTAAAAAATTCATATATTAAAAAGATATACGTATAAATCAATAACAAACAACAAATAATGTATAGATGCTACAATTTTCAAATAAAGATTCATCAATCCAATAGTTTAGGTTATGAAACAAATTTTTACCTTTGAAAGCAATACAGTGGTTTAGGTTATGAAACAAATTCTTACCTTTGAAAGCAATACAATGGACATGGTGTAGTGATGCGGTGGACAGATAATAAGACAAGTGACCAAAGTGCAGCGACAAACGTAATGGTGTAGCGAACAACTGATAACAAGTTTAAGTGAGGATTTGACTTGTGGTGACAGCCAACAATGTAGGGTAGAGGTAAGACAGAATAACATCAATTAGGGTTATTAAAATATTATAATTATTTTAAAAATTTAAAATAAATGATTAATTAAGGTTAGTTTGTTATTATAATTATTTTTAAAATTTACGCAACCCACCATAACCCGGTTCGAACCCGTTTAACGCGTGGGTTAAGTGAATCGGGTTCATTATTAGCCCATAATCGATAGAAATAATAAAAATCGAATCCAACCCGGTTCGAACCCGTGGTGAGTCGGGTTGGCTCACGGGTTAGAATCCATATTGACACCCATAGTGTAAGGTAGTCTGACCAGTTATAGAATGGTTTGAGCTGGGTGTGCAAACACAAATTATAGTTTTAGGGAGGAAAAACAATATTTCCATGAGAAACAGATTAGGGAATGGTTTACTTTCACAAGAGTCAGTTGGTAATTTAGATTGACGATGATTGGGAAATTACGATAGATTCATAACATATTTGAAGTTGTTTGAATGGTAGTCTGTTTTCTCCCCCTTGAGGAATGTGGCTCGTTCAGTCATTGTTTGAATGATAGATTCATAGTCTATTTGAAGTTGTTTTAACACCTCATTTTGTTTCATGTAGTGTGTTTTGCGAGGTTGGTTGTTTGATAAACATATATTCACGTGCCAATGTACCAGTTTTTTTGGCTTTTTTGGTCCTGTTTGGTATAGAAGAGAAAAATGGAGTGAATGGAAATAAATATAATAATTGCAATAGGTTGAGAAACAAAGTGGAAGTTGAAGATAAATATAGAAGAAATTAGGAGAGGGAGACGAGTGGAAATAGATAAGAAATAAAGTAGAATAGTACTGGTGGGACTACTCATTTTTAATTATCTCTTCTTTCTATCTCTTCTCTATCAAACAATATCAATTATATTTGTTTTTTCTATTTTCACTCTCACCCCTCCGTCCAAACACATCATTAGTGTGTGCTTGGTTTTCTAGAAAAGTGCCAGATGTACAGTTATCAGGATAACTAGTTTTACTTTTCTGTTTACAGTTACCGACAAATAAAGTTTTTTTTTTATATTTTTCTTCTGGCTTTAAGTCAATATTGTTAGCATTATTGGCCATGTAAAGAGAATTATACAAACAGTTTTGGATTTGTGGGATATCTATTCAGGGAACAGCTGCCCCAAGAGGTCCAACATCTCCTTGGTTGCCTTTTCCTTTGCTTTTTGCTGCTATCAGAAACAAGGTTCCTCCTAAGGATATGGAACTTCTCAGAAGACATTATGAACAGTTTAGGGTATGTCAAGTAGCTCTACTCGTTGCCTGTCTACCTTGATTGATGAAATATCTCTAACATATCGTGCTGTTCTGGTTCAGTCAAAGCAGATATCCCGGGGTGATTTTGTGAAGATGCTGAGGTTAATAGCTGGCGATCCTCTACTGAAACTTGCAATGACACAACTTCAATTGAAGGTACGATTATTTTTTTCTTGACAAAAGCTGCAGATTACTTTTAAAAAACTTCATTTTCGCATTGAAATCTGGAGATTGATCTTCAGCTGTGGTATAATATTATATTATACCTCCTCAAGGAATAACTTGATATTTACTATGTTGGGATATGAGTCTCATATTTCTTCAAGTAAATTTTGAAATCACAGACGACTGTCTTCTGCTACGTGGTTATACCTCATAAATGATGTTTAAGTGGCTGCATGCAGATACAATCCAATGTTGAATCGATAGACTCAAACAAGATGGATATATCCTGATCTTGGAGGTAAATATTGTCAACTTTTTGCTGGACAAGTCAATTGTGATATTATTAGCTCCTAGGCATTCTTTTTCATTTCCTTCCGTCATTTTATTTGGACCTTGAATGTAGTTGATGTTGGAACTTCATTAGTTTACTTTTAACCATCTGTTTTAAGACGCATTGTCAATCCTTCTATTTGCTACCTTATGTATTTCTTTTATAATAAGTATCACTCATTTAATATTTGCTGTTACCTTTTTGACTTCCAGCCACCACTTAGTATTTTGGATTAGTGTATTGTGCTAGGGGCCGAAATGTGTACACTGTGGAATCACAGAAAAACATTTTCAGAACTATTCGGTACTTAATTATCTTAAGAGTTAATCAGAATTAACAGATTTAATATAACTAAAACAATTTGTAATTAGTTAATAAGGTTTGTTGACCTTTGATCTATTAAAACTAGTATAGAAAAAAAGGATAAAATAAAATTTGTAATATAACAGACGTAACAATTTATAATTTTGTTTTTTATATTGAAATTAAACTATATTTTATCATAACTTAATTTTTTTTACAAATAATATGAGAGACTTACATAAAGTAAAAAATATAAAAAATTAAATTTATTCTGATCTTAAAAAGAATTGAAACTTTCGTACATTTTAAATGTCTAATTAATTATTTTATTTTAGTCAGGAAAATAGTTTTTCTAATTATTTTAGTCAGGATAATTAATCTTTATATTTTCTCTCCATTAAGATCATATGAAGATTTAAAAGAAAAATATTAGCTCGAATTGGTTTATCATGATAAGAAATTGTTAAATAATCTAATCGGTTTGAGTTACTAGTTTGATTTCCTTAAGTCTAAATAAATTAATTGACCCATTTTTTATACAAGGAATAAGAGACATTGTCATGGTTAAATGACAAATAGTATTTCATTTTGGGATGGCAAGTATTCAAATTTTGAATTGTATGATTATAAACCAATTCTTTTAACGTATACACTTTTTTTTCTCCATTCTTCTTTATTTTTATTATTTGTTGAATGTATATATAATAATTTTTTTAATCTGTAATACTTTGATTTTTCTCTTTCTGATGACAGAAAAAAATTATCAAAAAATCATTTTAACAAAGGAATGAAAAGAAAAATATAATAAAAAAATTATATGAACTATAATGAAAAAAAATTATAAGTAACTTTGATCTAATAAAATATAATTTGTAATTAGATAATTTAAATAATTACGAGAGCATTGATTCTTTAATAGTACTGTGATAAGGCTTTGTAATCATATTATATTTAATAATACATGGGATGAGTGTCTTAATTAATAAGAATAAGGGATTAAGAGAAAAATGTTGATATAAGAATCATCTTAAACAAATTGACTTTTTAGCCAAATCTTAAAGTTTTAATATGAGAATTTTGACCAGACCAAACAACTTTGAATGCATTTTCATGCAAACAACTCTATATAAAAATGATCTCTTATTTATTTATGTTAATACACTCTTTATTCTAAAATAATTAAGATAGTTTATTTATTTCTTTTTCTTTTTTTACTTTTTTTTTCATTCACATATAAGGAAAAATATAAAAAATGTTACCAAATTTGTTATTTTTTAAAATCATATATTTGTCGTTTCTCTCAAAATAAATAAATGAGTAGTTTTTATAATTATAAAATTACTTAAAATCTATTCATTATTTTTTAATATGATTTTTTTTGTCATTTTAAATCACTCTTAAACAAAAAAATAGACATTGTTATATATTTTTTTCTTCTTAATTTTTTTCCTTACAACCCAACATAGGTTGAGGTTTTTTTTTTTGCCTTTATCTCCTTTTACTCTAAAAACTAGTTGTTCCTTGAACTGAAGGACGACTCTAGTAAAAAAAACTTTAATCTTTCAATTAATATAAAATTAGAAAATTATCCCTAAAAATTTCACGTGTGATTCAAGTGTATCTACTAGTTATGTTTTCTTTGCATTTATCCTAATATTTTTAAGATCCCAACCTATATTACTAACTCCCATCTTTTAATAATAATAAAAAAAACAAAGCATATTCATTAGTCCTAAAGATTTCATGAACTTACACCATTTATGAAAATAAATATAATATTTTTAACTAATGAAAAATAAATGTAAAAAATAGAAACATTTATATAAGTTTATATATAATAACTTATTCATAAAAAAAATTATAAAAATGCATTCATTTAGTCAAATTGTTCATCAACAATGAAAAGACAATGCGTCCCTAACCTCTTAAAAAAAGATAATTATATTTAAAGGAAAAAGAGGTTCTAGAAACACGAAAAGATATCGACGAAAGAAGTGAGAAAGAAGAAAACGGAAAAAGAAAAAATAAAATAAAATAAAATTAAACAAGACACTGCAGATGGGTAAGTAAGCACGCAACACGGTCCAATAAGACGGAGGCTGTGACGAAAATAGGGATGACAGCGGGTGACCTTATCAAATACTCGTGTGAACCTTGCGTGGGTTTACTTGGAAAAGGGGTAGCGAGAAATTGCAGAATCTAGGGGAAACGCCTCCATTATCAGTTCTTTTAAACAGGCCTTGTTTTCACCTAACCCTACCATTCGCCGATCCTTCCAGTTAGGGTTTTTCGCTGTCAGCGAAGAACGGTGTATATAGAAACCCTATCCTTCCGATGTACGAAGGGAATTGAAAATAGAGTATAAAAAAAAAAAAAAAAAACAAAAAAAGGGTGAAAAATTTGTCTATGGTAAATAGGTAATTCTGTTGTTTTGCATGTTTCTGCACTCAGGTAATTTCTAAAGCTTCTCTGATTTTTCCATTGTTTTTAGATTCAGAATTTTATTATCTGCGAGGGTTTTGGAAATTTTTTTATCTCTTTGACTTTTCGATTTGGGGCTTGGATTTAGTAGATCGGGCTTAGGTTTGGTTGTTCATAGTGTTTGAACTGGTTTTGCTGCTTAGTTGAAATTTTTGGGAGCCGATTCTGCCTTTAGAATTAATATTAATAGTTTTTATTTTTCGAAGATGGTGTTTAATTTGTTGATTATTGATACGGTGTCTTTGGTTGTCGTTGACCGCCACGACTTGCTTTGTTTTGCAGTGTTTTTTTTAATAATTTTTTATGGATTTTTATTTTTACTCTGTTAAATTAGATCATCAGGAGCAGAGCTGTTTCCGGGGAAAAGAATGTACAGTGTGAACACTAAATGCAGTGCGGGGTATGAATGCGTTTTTTTTTTAAATTCTTGTCTTTGATCAATTTCGTGGTATGTCTTAAGTTTGGTTGATTTGTGAATTTCTTGTTGTTTAAGTTTATCTGTTTGTACGGGCAAGCGGTACGAGGGATGCAGCGATTTTTGAAAGAAGATTTTTCTATCGGGTGCACTAGGCGCATTTAGAGGCCTTGAATACGATGAATTGTTACATGATTTTGAATCAACGCCTGAGAAATAACCCTTTTTTAAATTTAAGAAAAAGAGTAAGTCACGTGTTACGTGGAGGTTGGTCAAATCACATAATCCCGGACCATGTTATAATTTCTACTTGAATACATCCTTTTAAATGCCCGCTCACACACACATGTAGCTTTTTATGATCTATTCTTTAGATTGTTTGGTTCATGCGTCCCTTTCATGGAGGCTGAGGAATTGAACATTGAATTGCGAGTTGAAACTTGTTTTCTCCAATAGTTGCATTAGATTCTACCATATCTGGGCAAGATTAAAACCTGTGTTTCCTGTAAAAAAATTTCATTGAGTATACTGTAAATGTACTAAACCTTCTATGGCAGTTTTAAGCAAGACATTTTAGTCCTTTCTGTGGGGATAGTTAGAGTAGAGTTGAAGCCAGGGAATGGATTTGTTAGAGTGCCTGTGCCATAGAAAGCAACTACAGTTGTTTGGCAAGAATTTAAAATAATAAAATTGGGATCCTCTTGGGTTGTTATTATTTTTTTATGCCCCGGGTATCTATTTATTGTTTGGTGTACATTCTATTGGTTTATTATTAGTTTTCTTGTTGATCAAATTGAATTTGTGATTTAGTTAAAACCATACATGGTTTATGACCTACTTCTCTGGGGAAACTGTTGAATTGCATAATCGTAATTACAAGGAATACATTTTTTGGTCTCTTTATATATCAGTTCTGTTTAAGATAATAATAACTATTTAAAAAAAAATCTATTAATGTTGAATTGATCATCTATGTTTTGGGTAGAACTTGCTATATAAGATTATTGTCTTACTAGCAGATTTGTAAATTTCATGAATAGTCAACCATATTTATGTCATCTGTGTTACATTCTGTTCTGTTTTGGTTTTCGAATGTTCTTTATGTATTAACTATTAAGTAGTGAAATGACTGGCATTGACCTCAAGGTTATTTATGTTTTTGTGAAAGAATTGGCCGATCTTATGCTTATATAAACCAAATATAAATGGTTTTAGGGTTCTGTATTAATCAAGCATTTCTTGGTTTTTGCAATTTTTTGTTTCCTATATATCAATTGACATTGAAAAGTAGTTGAGAAATATTTTACGTAAAATTGGATTAATTCAGCTCTTAACATTACCATGTTCATTGAATTTGTTATGGGACTATTTCAAGAAACTTTTCTACAAGTGCTTTTAGGAATACAAAGGAAAATTAATTTTACATAATAAGCTAATTTGAGCTAATAAAAAGCTTATTTTATTATTTTTCTCATAGAAATGCTTGTGGACAAGTTTTTCAAACATGTCCATTATTTAATGCCTTTTGATTTTAAATTAATGTACTCTATTTTGGGTCTTGACTATTCTTGTTATTCTACAAAGTTTAATACTCTATTTTATTTAATCTTCTTGGAGATAATGCTATTGCAATATGTCTCCTGTGCAAGTGTTTCAGATTACTTGTTTTTATAATGCTTTTATTGATTAATCCTAATTCTCTATTTTTCAACTTAATAATTATGTGCTCATTATCCTATGTATCAGTTTAATATTTTCAAAATTTTTAAATATTCAGGGATTGCCAAATATTCTTGATGTCACGGTCTTCACCATTGCCACTCCAGTTTCTTTTGAAACTGCTCAAGGTCTAGGGTTCTATTTAACTACTGCACGTGAGCTTTTTATATTTAAGCGTGTTTATAGATATTGGGCTAGTAGATAGAAATGGAAGGAAAAATCGCAAAGGCATTGGATAGGGTTGCTCTCAATCTGAAGCGCAAGCGAGCAACCCGTTATGCTGCACATTTTAGTGGAGCTACGCAACCAATTTTTGGCCATTGGCCATCGTATATGTCACCAACAAGCAGGGTTGTCAAACGGATGAGATTGGGTGGATGTAGAAACAAGCTGACAAATGCTGGTCCTCATATTGGCCGGTCCTTAGTTAGGCGTTTTTCAAATTATAAAAAAAGTGGGAGACTGGACCGTTTGATGTTCTATAGGAACGGTGAATGGTGTGACTTTCCTAAGGATATTGTAGAATTGGTTAAGAAGGATCTTGAAGTCAAGAAACTAGCTGTGGAGATAGAGTTAAATCGGTATCATCTTGTGTTTGATTTTTTACATCTGCATAAGGTGGACCTGAAAACTGGCTTGCAACAACCTATAGCTTGGATTGATGAGGCAGGGCACTGCTTTTTCCCTGAAATCTATGCTTCCACTGATGAAGAACCTTACAATATCAGCCAACAGGAAAGTGGAAAAAGTCCAGATTCTTATGCGTCTAATGAAATAAAATTACATTTAGAAGTTGAAATAAATGGAGTGGATCAATCCAGATTGAGTGAGTGTAGTGGGGAGTCCAATGCTCTAGTTAAGGGTATTCAAATTGATACTAAACAAAACTGCTGTCAATATGATGTAGAAGTTGAAGACAGCATTAACAAAAAGGACTATGGAAATGTTGGTGAAGCTATTCAGCAAAATCAAGACATAGGTTTAGATGCATATACTGATTCAGTATATGGAAAATTGGATTTGATTTCTGTACAAAAGATGTTTCTTAAGGGAATGAGTAGTTTTGGCAGTTCTGATTCTGACATAATTGAGATTTACCACTGCTCAGGTGCTTCAATGCAAGCACGATGGGAGCTGTTCCAGAAGCAAGCTGAAATTACCAAAAAAATTCATGGAGAAGCTAACATTCGGTACGCTTGGCTTGCTTCTTCTAGAAGAGAACTATCAACAATGATGGAGTATGGACTTGGTCATTGTGGACTATCTGGGTCAAAGAGCACATATGGAATTGGTGTTCATCTTGCAGCTGCTTCCTGCCCTGATGCCAGGTTAGTTTTGGAATAGTGACATGTCCTGTACTGGTCATATTGAGTATTCTTAACTGCTGGAATAATATTTAATCAGTTAATGCTTGCATCTTTTTCAATGAGGGTGAATTGACCATCTTCTCTTGTTATTCTGACTATCACTGTTTTTCTACGTGTTGTTACATACAAAATGCATCTTTTTTGTCCAATTTATTATGTCACTATTTTGAATTTATATTCTAGATTACACTGCTGGAATAGAGAACGATTCAATTTTTTGATTTGTACAGTGTGCGATATTGTGATGTTGACGAAAATGGGGTTCGACACTTGGCCTTCTGTCGTGTAATAATGGGGAACATGGAGATTCTCTGTCCTGGTACTGGTCAGTTTCAACCCAGTAGTTGTGAATATGATAATGGGGTGGATGATATTCAATGTCCGCGACACTACGTGGTGTGGAATATGAACATGAACACCCACATCTATCCTGAATTCGTTGTTAGCTTCAAAGTCCCTTCTGATGCTGAAGGTGGTACAATGTTCCTTTATTTTATTTTTCCTTTTTGCTCTTCAGTTGGGTTTTCCTGGCAAAAAGATGTTGTTCATTTTAATACTGTGTAGCTGGTGCTCACTGAGTTGTGCAAAAGGATAACTAATTGATATCTATGGTTCAGAAACAGTGTTTCATCTGTATAACGATAATCAACTTGAGGTCAATATTACATTCATCAGATTAATTTCTTCAACCTGGTTCAGTGGAACAACCAGTGGTTACATCTACTTAACTGTATGCATATATGATTCTTTTGTTATGATCATTTATTCTTGTTTCATTTTTACAGGTCATTTTTGTGGACATGAGGTTAAGAATGTTTCTGGGGTTAATACAGCCCCACACGGTCCTCTAGGCCTCTCAGAATCATCTACGGTAGATAATGTAAGTTATTTGATATTTTAGTTTTGCATCTTTTTTTTTTTTTTGTCATGCTTTTTAAGTTAATAATGATTTTTTAACTGTGGTTTTTCCAGTGTTGAATTTTTTTTTTCTTGATATGGTGAAAATGAAATGGTTGATCCTGAAAGAACAAAAGCAGTTTGAATAATTTGATTTTCCTTTATAGAGGAATTGGTTGTTCCACGGGGGTGTGCCATATAAGGTAGTCCGAAAGTTATAGGGTGGTGATTAAGTGTTGAAAGTTTGTTGTTATCGCTATTGTGAATATTTAGTTCTTGCGGACATTGTTTTGGGCTCACGTCTGTTCTTAAGGTTGCTAGTGCAAATGCACAGTTTAGTGTTTTGGGAGAAAAAATATACCACTTTTAGAGGTTTTATCATACTCTTGAAAACTGTCTTCTGATTTAAATCTTGTATTGTTTTATTTCCTATAAATACAGCATTATCCTTATAATTTGAATTTTGGGATACCACCTCAGGGAAAAGTTCCTAGTATGGTTGCTATAACTCCAAAAGTTCCGAAATCCCCGTGGATGCCTTTTCCCGTGCTTTTTTCTGCTATCAGAAACCAGGTTCCTGCCAAGGATATGAATCTTATCAAAACACATTATGAACAATTCAGGGTATGCAAAATACGTTCCATTCGATTTCATTCTACCTCGATCAGAAACATAATATCTCTAATACTTAATGTTCTTCTAATTCAGTCAAAGCAGATATCCCGGGATGATTTTGTGAAGATGCTGAGGTTAATAGTTGGAGATGCTCTGTTGAGAACTACAATAACAAATCTTCAATACAAGGTACAGATTTCTGTTAAAATTTAATTTGGCTTTGAAATCTTGTGATTGGTCATTTAACTGTGGATATACCTTCTAAAGATATCACTTGCTGTTATGTATATCAGGCTATATTTTTCATATTTCTTTTTTTTTCTTTTCAAATGCTGTATTCATCATCTGCTATGTGGTTGTACCTCCTAAATGTTTAGCTGACTGTTTGCAGATACCATCCAACGGGGACTTAAATGAATCAATCAAGAAGGAAGGCTAAGGCTGTATTGCTATGGGGAGGTGGAGATCTTTGGACTTGGGAGTCTAATATTGTGAACTTCTGCTGGATAAATCAAAATGGAGTTATGATATTATTTTTCCTAGGCAAACTATCCTTTTCATTTCCTTGTGCCATCCCCTTTGGACCTACTACATTTATGCAACTCGAACTTCTTTAGAGTTTATTTTGAACTGTTTGTTATTATATGCCCTCGTCAATTTTCCACCTTATGTTGGGTTTTTATATATATATTATAATAAAAACGAAATTAGATATTCCCTATATTTTTACCCATCAAATTTTAAAACGAGCTCACTTCTTTTTTTGGATTTGATGTATTGAACATCTTGTGATGTTAATGGTGTTTTGAAGCATCTCAGGGAAATTTTTCTCCAATCTGCCAGGTGTAGACTGTCACTGATTTTATTCTTACATGAAGGTGCCTAGCTTTTCGGCTGGTTGATCTGTTTGGAATACGAGGAGATAACATTGCTTCTGGGAATTGTATCTATTGATGACGTAGTTGTGTTTTTTTTTTTTTATAAAAGATAAAAAACATCAGAGATTGGGTTGAGGTTTACTCCTTGAGGTCAGATTTGTGTTGAAAAGGTTGTTCGTGCTCATCCTAGCATTCTTCTATTCAATTCATCGTAACCTTCATAGATCATAATTGTCACTTATGAGTAGCTATTTTTGACTGACTCTGGCCAGTAATACTAATGTTTTTGTTAGTTTTTATTTTCTCGGAAAATCAGCTGTCTCTAGTTCATTTGAGTTATTGTAACTCTTTCTGGTGTAGTCTAGTTGGGGCCTATTTTCTGGAATTGCTCGCGTGACCATGTTGTCTTTTTTGTGAAATAGTCCTCAGATTATCCTTCTTAGCACCAATAAAACAGTGCCTACTCGTGCTTATGCTGCAATGGAAATCTAGTATTTGTACCGAAACATGCATCAGACTGCATTTTTTGTGCATAAGGTATTGTAACTTAAAATCAATCATGTAAGAGAAGTTTGAGAACACCTTTCCGAGTGTTGTAGACTGACATGTAACTGATGGAAGCTTTGGGAATTTGAGTCAGGGATTATCGTTCAGGCAATTCTTAGGTGTTAAAAGGAAAAAAACTCACTAACTTTTATTGGAAATTCGCGCTCAAAAATCTGTTCTAGATCCATTTCCCCGAGTTTGTAGAAGAGTTCAAGAAACTCTAATGTCGATATTTTTTGGGGGGATATTGTGGAATTTTATATTTGTGATATTCGCTTTACTTCTATGAGCTTCAGTATAGAGAAATTCATGATTTTATTTGATGATGCTCCTAAAAGCAGGTTAACATCCATTCATGTGCATACCAAGTCATGGAGAATGCTATGTGAAGAAAAAAATTGGACAAAGGATGGAGTTAGCTTTTTCAACAACAGTTACGAATGGCGTTTAAAAGTTTTGAAAGGAAATAGTGAGGAATGCATAGGCAATTCAAGTTTTGAACCAACTCTTTGATGAAACCCTTTTATCCATAGTTTTAAAGCTGATTTTAATTCTTGATCTAGTAAGATGAATATTTCATCTGCAATTGATGATGACAGTGGGGAGTGGAATAATGACATTTGAAGGAATATTTTTCCGACCAAATAATAAGATGTAAGCAATATCTTTTTGAGAATTGTTGCATTTTAAAATGACTAAAGTAAAGTTTGATCATTTTGCTCTTTTTTGGTCGTTGCTGGAAGGTGTGTTTGAATGAATGTTATATTGGGTAAGCATTCAGCTGAATGTACTTTAGACAATATTTTAGTTAAGCAAACAATCGGTCATTAGATAGGAAAGAGTCGTCATTAGCATTTAATAGGTGGGTGGAACACAAATAGTTAACATTTGTTATTGCTTTGGTGGACAGATGTGCTGCAGGTTATATTATTTGAGCTGAAGGAGTGATAAATCTGTACACCATGACAAGTGTGCATGAATAAACTATAGTATGAACATCCATCCTCAGATTGGTATTTCGGGTGAAACCAAGATTGAGTATTTCTGGTGAAACCGTGTCACGTGTCAGGAGGTGGGATCATCAAATTTGTCTGTGGTCTTGCAGGTGCAGTAAATGAGAAAGGCTGTCTACTTTTTAGAATATGCCAATGCCTTCTCTTAGTTGGGTGTTTAAAGTCTTTTAAGAATGAGATTCTTTTTTTCCTACAAACTTAAGAATGGGACTGGCCATATTCTTTCTTATCGTAATCTATGGTGGAGGAGGGACATTACTAAATGGGAAGACAAACGAACCATCAAAGTGGCTTACCCTCACAGGTATGATATCGAATCTTGGCAGCCGGGTGCAAGGTTTTCTAAGATGTAATGTAGACACATCAGATACTAGAAAATTTGGGGTTGATTTGTGTCTTCGTGACCATGACGAGCGTTTTATTTAGGTAAGTTCTTATGTTTCGTAGGGAATATTAATCTGTTGAGACTGAAGTTGTGACCTGCAGGGAAGGCCATTAAGTTACTTGCTGATTTGAATATAAACAGATTAATATAGAACTGAGTTGAAAAGCGACGATGGTGGAGATTATTGACAATGTTACTACACATACTTATTCAGAACGTTTGTTAAATTTGTGCATACAAAAATTCAGGTATTTTCCAAATTTTGAGTTTAGTTAGTAAAGAGACAAAATGTGCGGCCTAATTTTTGGCTACAATAGCCCAATTTTATATTAGTCGTCATGTTTTTTTATTGCATACCAAATTGTATTCAAAAGATTATTTACACGAAATGATATGAAATTCTTAATTAAAAATTTATAAAATAAAAGAATTTTAATAGGTTTCATTCTTCTAAAATTACAATCATCATCTTTATAAAATAAGTGAAGTTGATTTTGGTGAGAGTAGAAGAATATTAAATTTTTATATCTTTACATTTAAAATAAATATTTTTAATTATTGATATTCAAGTGAGTTTGATATTTGATTATAATTTTTGACTAATTTAATTTTAAAAATAATCTTAATTTTTTTTAATTGTCGTAATATTCACATCCTTCCTATTTTTAAAATAGAGACCCGCCTTTTTAGGGTTTTAATTAATTTATACTCAGTTTTTAAGTTTTAAAAATACATCTAGAGACTGGCCTTTTTAGGGTCATTTTTAAATTTTAAAAATACATCTATATGAACATATCTTATGAATGTCATTTAAAAAGATCTTATAAAAATGATAATAAATTTTTTATATAACTAAATTGTTTATAAAAAAATTAATTTTATATTTTTGAAACTTTAATTTTTAATTTTATGTATTTTTAATTTATGTTTAATAAATATAATATTTTTAAATAAAATAAGTATCACTCTAGTTATTTATTAAGCATACATCCAGAGGAGTACGCATCTTATTTAAGATGACATTAGAATAGATGAATGAATCTTTATTTCTATCATATAGTCTTAATGTAAAAGAGGACGTGTGTTTTGTTTGGATACACCGACCCAAAAATGCTGTGTGCATGATGGGAAGATGAAATTAGGCATTTAATTATTATCAATTTTTGAATCATGTTCTTTATTTAAACAAAATTTGAATTTTGAATTTTGAATTTTGTTTTAGCGTGATTAAATATACTTATTAATTAAAATAAATTTCTACATTTTACATCATGACAAAAAACATTTGGAACATATAAAATTTGTAAAGTTTTATTTATCTGTTACATTTGGTTTCTTTACCTGATTGGAAAATATAAATTAAATCAATGCAATCACTTTTATCATGACCGTACAAAATAATTGTCTAAAATAAATAATTATTCATGTCTTATATTTAATATTCTCATTTAAATTACTGATTCCAAAGTTTTCTTGTACTTTGACAAATTAATTATTACGATCTCATGTACTAAGACTTTATAAAATTCTTAAGTTTAAATTAATAATTTTTCCGACATAAATTATGGGATTCATTGTTAATTATTATTAATAAATATATTGAATTTTATGAAAGCCTTTTGCATTGTATTATGAAAAAAAGACTTATTAAAGAAGTGGGAGGTTGTATTTTGTTACCATTATTGATTGAACCGCGAATTACATTCTATATCAGCTAATGCTATTCCTTTAATCGAGCAAGTTCACAGCAGTTCAAAAGTTGTATGACCAGTTTTGCGACCAACAAGCCATTAATTATGTTACACCATCCATCACATATTTATTAAACAACATTGCACTGTTTTTTCTGACTAGAGTAACAACATGAATCACTGAAGCTGCTACTTATACTCCTTTGTCGCAGATAAACTTGTCTAAACAAATTCAATGCTACTTACCAATGTCAAGCATCATTACTGAGTGCAGAGAGTTGTGTTACCCTTCACTTGATGGATCCCAACCAGGGGGTTTGATGTTTGGCCAATCACCACGACAACCCAATCTTATGTAGAGACCTTTTTTACCTGCAAGATGACAGGCATGAAGTCCATTTTGGGCTAATGAAAATTGTTCAAATTTCCTTATTTCAATCTAAATCTCCTTTTTCCATTTGTAAAATGCCCCCAGTTGTTAATTATAATTTATAAACCTTATTTTCAGCCTTTCCATTTCACCCCGTGAAATACATCCCAATCTCAATTGTCCAGGGTATCAGTCCACAAAATCAGATGTGTTGAAGTGACATTTTCACTAAAACTTTTGAGCAATGAATTGATTTGTCAAATGAATGGAAGTCATTGGATTAACATGAGTGCATTGAATTCAATAAATAACTAGGACAATTACCTGGAAGTTTCTTGTCTGACAGGATTAACTGTTTTAGGGCACTTAAACAAGCTTGTGCTACACTTTTGGCATAAGCAGGGTCCCATCCTTGTAGCTTAACAACTACATCTGCATTTGTGTATGATATTATGCCATCTTTGACACTTTTATGGGTCTCCTGCCTTGCAGAATCCTCATCTGTTTTTCAAGCTTTCCAAATAATTTTTATTGAAAACAGCACGCTGAAGCAACCATGCAAGGAAATATGAAGGGGAAGTGTGGGGAAGGAATCAAAAGAAAATGAAGAGAAAGGGAGGGCAGAGCATAAATGCTGAATTAATAAGATTCCTTTTCTTTGTATTTTTAAAATCGTCCACAAATTATGCAAAATGGTGGAATAAGATGCTTAGAAAATTAAGGGATGGTTATTGGGAGTTACATATTGTAATTTCCCGCTTCCCTTCCTCATTATAAAACTTCCCAAACAAGGGTGACACTTATTTTAAACCTTCTCTTGCCCCTATTTCCTTCCTAAACCCTCACCTGAACACGACCTCAGTGGTAGTAAAAGTTTCATCATGACTTTAGTTGAGGCACAGGTAACTCATCTTTTTAGTTTCCAAGTTATGAAAAAATTTGAAGGTTCAAAACAAGGTTGCATTAAAGAAATATAAAGTGTATAAAACAGAACTCAGATTGATCAACAATCACCTAGTGCTTCAGTCTGTGACAACCACACAGTAAATCCTGCGTAAAGATGTTGCCATTTATCAGCTCTTCCGGCAGCACCATGTTTCCCTCCTAATGTTGCAACCACTGCCCTAGCATGACTGGAAAACCACTCAAATGCACAAAAAAATCTGTTAGTTCCCCATAACAAAATGATCTAGAAAATGAAATGAAACCATTGACTTACCTACTTATGCTTTCAAGTACAGCACTTTCTGCTTCTGCTACTGAGTGGGAGCCCTCAGCAAGCAGCCCTGGAATTCATTACAGTTGTTAATGCACATGAAAACCGTAACATCAGTCACCTCAAATACTCGGATGCATGCACTTATTATCGCCATATCCTCTGATATTAAACAAGATGCATCACAGTTGTAATATCTTTCAGGGAGGGTGGATGGGGTTTGACTCAAGAAAACTTACACTGGAAAAAAGATAGAAAAGACACCGGAGAAGAGAAAACTGTATTGATTTAAAACAATATATGGATTCTATTTATAGAGTACTTTAGAGACTTCAATTAACTTAGTAATAATTACAGCATCTCAACTAAGCTAATCATAATTAATATAACTTCTATAAATCAAACAAAATATTCTTGTAATTCAACATTCCCCTCAAGTTGGTGGTGAATGGACATCAATCATTCCCAACTTGCATGTATCATGAAATTTTTATTAGGGAAGTCCTTTTTTAAACAAGTCTGCTATCTGAAATTCTGATGGGATGTAAGAAATAGTTATAAGGCACCCAATCTCGTATTTCTTTGATGAAGGGTCGTTCAATCTCTATATGCTTAGTCTTATCATTGCCGGACAAAATTGTGAATAATACTAATAGCTGATCTATTGTCATAAAAGTGTTATAGGTTCTTCATTTTTCACTTTAACATTATTCAATAACAATCCACACACCTCCTATGCCAGAGCTTGAAACTTAGTCTCTGCACTGGACATTGCAATCTTTTATTTCTTACCTCTCCAAGTCACCATGTTTTCACCCAAGAACAAACAATATCCTCAGGTGGACCTTCTATCAGTAACAGAATTAGCATAGTCTGCATCAATATACATCGCCATATTTAATTTTCCATTCGTCTTAAACAACAACCCCCTCCTAGACTTGTCTTCAAATATTGAAGGATTCTATTTACAACATGTAAATGTTACTCTCCTAAATCATGCACGAAAGGGCTAGGTAAATGAGTTTCCCTATTGACCCTTATTTACCATAGAACTCCCTTGATATAACACTTGTAAATCAAAGAAAATATTATCGCAACTCAACACTTACACTTGCCAATAAATCACATAAATGGCAACAAGGATAATGGAGGGAAAAAGGAGAAAGATAGTGTGCAAGGATATAATGAATTTATATAATGTGTTAAAGGACAACTGAAGCTTCAAACAAGTACAGCATTTTCAATCACAAGATTATAGGAAAAATAGATTTTGTTTTTTTCCCTTTGTAACACATCTTTTGTCGTAACAAACAAAATGGGTACAAACTGGCCCTATCAGGTATCAGCAATTTCCATGAGATGCTGATTGTTCATTTCTAATGAAAAGAATAATTGGCACATCCCTTTAATTTTCAACCATTTGAGTGAGTTGAACCTACAATTAATGTAATCCTATTTTGTAAGACACCACTAAAAGCAATCCTAAGATTGATCCTTCAGAACCTTTAGTAGTACCAAACTACTTGTATAAAGAAACTTTTTAGTCTCTATGTTTGTCAGAAACCTGCAGCATGGGAGACTAAATAGAAAACTTTGTCAATAAGAAGCAAGGCATAGAAATGGCACTTACATGAATCCACAGTCTGCTTGGTATATGTTTCCAGTAACTCTTTTGTGCTAAGTGGTGTGTACCTGAGAATACCAAACACGGAAAAAATTTATATAACCCATTGATGAAAGTTACACACCAATCATAGCATCTAACAATAAAGTGCATCCCTTGATATAGTTATGTATCCGTAACAGCTGTTATTCACAGCTCGAAAATATATTTCCCATAAGTGAAAACTAATAAATGTGAAACTGGAAACAAGATTCATATATTAATGAACAGAAGATTCGTATTGACAACTAAAATCACAAATGGACTAGTGGAAATGGTACCCTAGACCAGTTGCCAGCTCTTGAGCCACTTTTTGGTTGATATCTGTCGAATCACCGACAAGATATATTGATGTCCCTTGCAAAAGTTGTGAAGATCCTGCAGCAAGTGATTCCCAGGACTCCATGATGTCAGGCCATTTCAAATCCGGGTCCTGTTTCTTGAAGTTCACAACAAGTTGATCATCATCTATATACCTGCCCAAATCAGACAAATCATCTGAGAAGGAAAAAACTAGAAGGTTTTTTTTTTTTTTTCTCTTTCTATAGACTTCCAAATACACAAACCAACCATATTGTTTCAGAGGATTTAATCCTATCAAAAAGAGGGTTGGTTTCTATGAGTGTGATGGGAGCTCCTGGCCGCAAGACTCTGATTACTAAAGATGTATCGTTTGTATCAACCGATATGTCTCTGTTGCTTCGGATATCCAAACCTCCTAAGTTTAATCTTAACTCCATCTCTGAAGAACCATCTGAAAACTGCAGTTTGAATAACGAACTAGTATCAAATATAATCAAACTCAAATGATAAAAAGAGGACTTTTAATACATGAAAAATGATCGATGTTCCGTTGGGAATTGCCATCTAATGTCCACCCGAATAGTTAACCATTTTTAAGGTACAATTAACAATCAATATACATATCAATAACGTCAAACACTAATACACTATTAACCCTTATTGAAGTAGATTTAGCCATTAACACCACAGGCACATCGATAATTCTATACGGTCACACTTGTTTACTCTTAACTACATGTGGAGAAAGTTAATTATATTAGACATTTCATGCCACCATTAACCACTTGCGAAACATACTTAACCAGTGGTGTCAAATGAGTATAAATTGGTAATTGTATCACATTCATTTACCCTGAACAATTTACGAAGCTAAATTAACCACCATTAGACATTTCAATAACCTCCTACCATGACAGAATTAACCCTTGTAAGGCAGATATACCATTAGTATCTCAAATACGGATAGAAAATCACATTCATTTACTCTTAACCGCTTGTAAAGCAAAAAAAAAAAAAAAAAAAAAAAAAAAAAAAAACTAAATTTGCATGTGATTAACTAATAACTTCATGTGCTGGGTGGAAGCTGCTTGAAGAGTTCCATTGATACGAGTACCATTACTCTTCACGCAATACCCGTTTTGCAATCGTAAGTGGCAAATTGTCGGAGACAGCAAAAGAACTAAATTAACTGACAAGTTCATAGTCAACTACCCATTTTTTCTTTTTCCAAAAGAAGATGAATTTAACTATTTTGGAGTTATGGTTTTTCTTGCGATGAATGAAGAGAAGGAGGGTATTGATGTTACCTCGTAAGTGGTGGTCGACACGGGGGCGGTGGAGGAACACTTGCAGGACGGGAGAGGAAGATAGTGTTTTTGAGAAAGAGAAGAAGAAGAAGAGGGAGCGAATGATGTGAGTGACACATTGGGTTTGAAAACAGAGAAGTTGAGTTTTGTTGTTGTGGGGTTTGAGAAGAAATAGCAGAGACGAAAAGGAGCAACTGCCATTGCAGATAACAAAACTAGTATGCCAGGAGCCACGTTTGTTTTCGGCTATGTGCATCCTCATATTTGGAATTTGGGCTTCTCTGAGTGACCAATAATTACTTTATCATATATAATTTTTTATAACCACTTCTAGAAAAAATAAAAGTATTTTTTAATAAGTTAAAATCAATTTATGAATTAATTAATTTATTGAAATATTATTTATTTATTTTTTATATATGAAGTAATTTTAGTTTGTAAAAAAAATTATTTTGATTTTTTTATATATAAATCCTTTTAAGAGAGGAAAAAAAATTAAATTTTTAATCAATTAAAATTAGTGTATGAATATAAGTTATATAAGAACAAATTTATAAATTAGTTTACATTCATCTCAATTCTTTTTTTTAAATAATTAAATTTAAAATTCTTGATCAATTCGCTGGTGAAACGAAAGTGTATTATATATATATATATATATATATATATATATATATATATATATATATATATATATATATATATATATATAAAATTTATAACTAGCTTAACAAAAAGTTATTCATAAAAATATCGAACATCAACTTTTCATTTTGAATCTATTTAGTTTTATCAAGGATTAACACTTAATTTATTTATTAGAGTAACAAAAAATTTATCTAAATTAAATAAGATTTTTTTAACACATTTGTTTTATCTAGGAATTTAGAGTTTCAGAAAACTCTTATTTTTTCTTGGACGGAATATTAGTATTCACCACGGAATTGAGAGTATAGTTTGGTTCAATCCATACATATCATTTAATCATCGATTGGAGACTTATGTTCTGATACACTCATAAATCTTAATAAAATTATTATTTGTTCTTTTGTCACGTGTTCATCATGTGTTTGTTTTTAGTTCTTTTGATTTTAGTTTCTTTTTTATTGTGATATATTTATATATATGTTTTTATTATTCAGCACAATATAACCTTGTTTTTTTTTTCTCTTTGTTCTTCTTCTCTGTTTCTTGTTCATGGCAGATCTATGATCACTGCCTTAAATACAAAGAACAAAGTGAAATTTATTTTGGGAACTGCACCTCAATCCAACCAAAACTATCTCATTTATATTGTTTGGTATAGATGTAACAACATGGTGCTTTCTTGGATTATCCATTTTGTTTCCCTCTCCATTCAGCAGAGCATTATCTAGATGGATTAAGCCGCTGAGATATGGAACAGCCTCAAGAATCATTTTTTTCAAGGGGATAGTTCTCACATTTCTGTTTTACAAATGGAGGTTGCTACTTTACATCAAGAGAATCTCTCAATTTCTGATTATTTTACGAAGCTAAAGAGTCATATGGGATGAACTTTTGGCCAAAATCCCATGTGTACGTGTAATGCGAAATTCTCTTACCTTCATTCTAGCTCTGAAGAAATTAGAAGACCGTGCAATACAGTTCTTGCAAGGATTGAATGATCATTTTAGTAATATCAAGTCTCATGTTTTGCTGATGAAGTCAATGTCGTTAATAGTTAAGATTCTCTCTTATGTGGTACAACAAGCACGTCAATTATTTGCAGAAAACATTGTTGTTGCAACTAAAAGTAATGGATAAGTTCATTCTATCACCATGAATAATGCCTATGTTGACGCTAATGGCAACAATGTCACTGGTCACTCCAACTTACTGTAATCGAGTTGACCACACCGAGACTACCTGATTTCCCAAACATGGCTTTCCTAACCAAAATAACAAGAATACCAAGAATTCTAGCTCTAGAAAATTATGCACACATTGTAACAAGACTGGTCATACTATTGAAGTTTGCTATAAAAAGCATGTGTACCCACCAGGCCATAAACTCTATATTGGAAAATAAGTGCACAGTGTCACGACTTCAGATGATCCCAACAATGACAAGGATAATCACAATAGTGAAAGAATTCAGATAACACCTCAACAATATCAAGCTCTTGCGGAAATCTTTAAAGTTATGTCTATTGATAACTCTCAGGCGCATATAAACCAAATCGAAACCATCTCTACACAGTAATCAAGCATTGGTAATATTCACTTTACTCTAAAATCTCAAATTTTTCATAAGAATTGGATTTTTTATTCAAGAACCACATACCATATATGTGTATCATTGAATAATTTCTTCTCCTACAATCTTATTCAACTTATTAACATTAGTCTCCCTAATGGAAACATTGTTATTGTCACTTATGCTGGAACTGTTATTTTCAACAATAAATTTCAGTTGTACAATGTTTTATATGTTCCTCAATTTTCTTTTAATCTTATATTTGTATATAAGATTATATCTTCCCTTAATTGTGAACTATTTTTTTTCTTCCTTTGGTTGTGTCATACAAGACGTGAAAATCAAAGAGAAGATTGGTCTGGTTAGACTACAAGTTGGATCATATGTTCTTAGTATTTCTGATTTTGTTCTTGTGCATGATAACTCTCTTTATGTAGTTAATACTATCAATCTTTGGCACTCATGCCTAGGACATCTTTCCATAATAAACTGAATGTTTTACATACTAAGTATCCATATATAATTGTTAATCTTGACTCTATGTGATGTTTGTCATAAAGTCAAACAAAAGAGGCTTCCTTTCTCTCAGCATATCTAAAACAAATAAAATCATTGATCTTGTTCACATGGATATATGAGATCATGAAGTGCTTCCATGAATGATTTTAGATATTTTCTTACTATTATTGATGCTTATTGTTGCTTTGCTTAGCTTATTCCTATGCATGACAGATCAGCTGTTATGAAACATATTACAATTTTTGTCAACCACGTTGAAACTCAATTTGAAACTATTATTAAAACCATTTGCACTGATAATGGACCTGGGTTTTTTATGCATGAATTGTATTCTAATAAAGGCATCATTCATCAAACTACTTGTGTGAGTACTTTTGAACAAAATGGTACTGTTGAACGCAAACACGAACATATACTTAATGTCACACGTGTCTTACTATTTCAAGCACATCTTCCTACTATTTTCTAGTGTTATGCTGCTCAACATGCAGTGTTTTTAATCAATAACACGCCTACTGTTATATTAAATAACAACACTCCTTATGAACACTTATGTGAAAAATTATGTGATCTTTCATTTTTAAAAGTTTTTTGCTGCCTATGTTACTCTAGTACTCTTCTCATAGAAAAAAGTTTGATGAAAGAGTTGCCCTTGGAGTGTTTCTTGGCTTCAAACCCACCACTAAAGGTTATCTCTTTCTCAACCTTAACAATAAAAAAGTTTATATATCTCACAATATTTTATTTCATGAACAATGTTTTCCTTATCACATTAATTCCATACATTCCACCAATTCTTACTCTCTTCCTCTCCCCCCTTCCTCATAATTATAACCATGATTATGACAGTTTCACTCCACCTACTACACATGCTACTACTGATATTGTTGTTGTTGTTGATAACACTGCTAAAAATATTATTGTTTTTGGCTCTGATAATATTTCTCATGCAATTGATATTGCTATTGATGATAATGCTAATGACATAAATGGTAATACTTTTACGTTGGCCCCTAAACATTCCATTAAGACTAGGAAAACTCTCACATACCTTCAGGACTTTCAAACACACAATGCTAGTAGATATTTCATTATGAATTATTTGAGCTACGCTAACCTATCTGCTTCTTTTAAACATGTTATCATATCCATTATGTCTGATGTTGAGCCAAAGAATTACATAGAAGCTTGTAAAAATCCACAATGGATGAAAGTTATGGTTGCAGAATTAAAAGCTTTAAAGGCAAATAATACTTGGACCATCATTAATGTACCACTTGGTAAAACTGTCATTGGTTGTTGATGGGTGTATAAGTTAAACACAACTCGAATGACTCTATAGATCGATTCAAAGCAAGACTTGTAGCAAAGGACGACATACAAATAGAGGGCCTAGACTTTCTTGACACTTTTGGTCCAATCGCCAAACTTACAACCTTACAACTCTTACTTACATTGGCATTTTCTAATAATTGAATTATCAAGCAACTTGATGTCAACAATGTTTTTCTTCATGTATATCTACATGAGGAGGTATACACGAAACGTCCACCTAGTTATTCTAGTCCACAACCTAATCGAGTGTGCAAGCTTCAACGTTCTTTATATGGTCTTAAACAGGTTGGGCGTCAGTGATATGTAAAATTTTCTAGTTTCTTAATATCACACAATTATAAATGTTGGTTGCACCACTGCTCAACTCATTTATGTGGATGACATTGTTCTGGAGGAAACAATGTTGGAGAAATTCAAAACATTAATGCTCTCCTTTATCACCATTTTTGCATAAAAAATCTTGGAGAGCTCACCTACTTTCTTGGGTTTGAAGTTGCATGTAATTTAAGTGAAATACATCTCAGTCAACGCAAATATACTCTTGACATGCTCCATGAAATTGGTATGCTAGATAGCTCTCCCACTCCTACACCCATGGTCCACACATCTCACCTACAGACTACTAGACAAAGTCTTGATGACATCCTCATACAAAAGACTCATAGGTCCCCTGATTTATCTCCTTAACACACGTATGAATATATCCTATGTTGTCAACAACTTAGGCTAGTTTTTTGTTAATCCATCTACTCAACATCAACAAGCTGCCCATAGAATTCTTAGATACCTTAAAGGTACTCCAGGCAATGGAATTTTCTTCCCTAGTAGCTCACCTTTGCAACTGAAAGCTTATAGTGATGTTGCCTGCCCAAAAACTAAAAAGTTTGTTACTAGTCTTTCTATCTACCTCAGTGATGCTCTTATTTCATAGCGCTCCAAAAAACAACAAACCATCTCATGGAGTTCTCCCGAAGCTGAGTATTGCGCCCTTGCCTCAACTACTTATGAGATTCAATGACTGATATATCTTCTTCAAGATCTTCAAGTACCTCTAATCTAGACAACTCTTTTGTATTGTGACAGTAAATCTGTCATCCAAATAAATTCTAATCTTATCTTTCATAAATGC